CCCTTATTTTAGAACAAACTTTTGTGTCCTTCAGTCATGCAATGAGGGGTAACCGTTGGGTTCTCACAGGATCCAAAATAAAGATGCCAATTCTCATTACCGTCACACAGAGCAACGCAGCAAGGCACTTCCTCAAATCTGTTGTGTAGGTTTACTTACAGATTCACTCCAGAGAAAAAAAGAACAAATTCAAATCAAGCAACTCAACATACAAACCCGAGGCCAATTCAAGTAATTGAATTTAGGGCCACTGCAGCACTGTAACAGCGTTTCTGCGATGCCCTCTGAATCTGTCTGACAGGGTGTTGTAAAACGCATGAATTGTGCCCTACTTTAAATAAATATTAATTTTAAAAACACACACATACACGTGGTCGACTGGCTGAATATAACTCAACGTCTCCTCTGCTTTTAATGAAGTCAGAGCAGGCCAGTTATCAAGCACACCAAATGAGACCACAATTACAGTGATTAGCACTGAACTGCCAGCCATTTACTTCCAATTAGAGGCAAATCAGGGTTTAATGAGAGAGACAATGTAGAAAGATGATACAAATCGTGAACGTTAATGCAAAGTTAAGACTGTATCCAGACCTGCTTAAAATGACGCCTGAGGTCAAGACTCTCAAACTCTTTCTTATTCCCACTGCTTAAAATGTATTATCCCTCTCCCAGTTTAAGCCTATCTTTCCTATCTGTCACATCTCTTCCAGATCAAGTTCATATATTTACATCATACATTTGGCTACTTTGTTACATTGTCTCACAATTAAGACACTTCTGTTCAGTTTACAATAATTTGGGGGCATTTATAATGTTTTATGACATTATGGAAAATGTCTCTCCCAAAGGGACGACCAGAGAGAGGAGTTCTTTTCCAAATGGAGGTGACCAGAGGGACTGAGGACCAGAGTCCACTTGTGTGGGAATATTTTTCTAATTAACGTCATAATTGATTATCACTTGCAAAACTCAGCTGCAGGGTGCAGTTCTCAGACATTTCATTTCATATTAATGGGAAGCCATTTAAGAGGAATCTTTAAATACTTCAGGGTATTATGTGTATTTTAGGGTATTTATAATTTTTGTAACTTCACTTTAACGCTGATTGTCCTTTTGAAGCTATAAATCAGCACTGAACATGCATATTAATCAATGCTAACTGGAATGCCACAATATCTAATCCAATTCATGAATAAATTGAGCTTTATTTACTTCACATTTTCAGTTTATAATTACATTATATATGCATGAAATGCTAATAATTTATCAAACTCAACCCCCAGTTCAAACAGGAAGGCAATGTATATGACCTTTTCTTATTTTAAGCATGCACTGCCATTCAGATTTTTTTTTCATGTTTTTGAATGAAGTTACTTATGCTCACCAAGGCTGCATTTATTCGATCCAAAATACAATAAAAACAGAAATATTATGAAATATTTCTAACATTTTAACTTCGATATATTTTAAAAATGTGATTTATCCTTTAGAAATCATCATTATTATTAATTATTAAAAATAAACAGTTGTGTGTAATATTTTTATGAAAATAGTAGGATCCTTTGATGGAAAGAAAGTTAAAAAACAGCATTTATTTGAAATAGAACTTTTGCAACAAAGTAAAAATCTTTATGGTCAGTTTTGATAAATTATTTATATGTAACAAAATATAGAGATGTTTATGCTTTCAAAAAAAGCCCTTCCAAGGATCTCAGTATTTTTTTTTTTGCTTCTTAAGAAAATCTTGTTTTACAAATATAGATCAGATGCAAAAGCCTTTAAGTGCCATTTGAAATTTTCTTCTAAAATGGGCATTTTTATCAGACAGGCTCCTATGTGTAGGTTCAGTCATTTCACTTTAATGGCAATGAATAGGTTCATTTAATTGCCATTAAACTGAAATGACTGAGCATAAACATAGGAGGCTGAGAACAATGCTAATTTTAGAAGAACATTTCAGATGGCACTTAAAGGCTTTTGCATCTGAACTATTTAAATGTTTAAATATTTCTATTGAAAAGCAAGACACAAATACTGATTACGATTTTTATTTTTGTTTTTAGTTTGTGACAGACAGTCCTGTCAATACCTTCAATCTGTCAATCTTCAGATGAGTGTTGTTGTTTCTCTCCTATCTGACATCCATCATTGTTAAAAAAAAACGAGTAAAAAAAGAGCAAGCTGTTATCTGTGTGAAACTGATGGGTGCTACGAGACACCCAGACCATCACTGGATTCATCTGCTCCTGTCTATTTTGCATAAAATGCCTGCAGTCACGTTGGCTGTCTAATTGTTCGACATTCTGCATTCTGTGATGCAGAACCTGCACTAAAAACACTCTCTAAAAGTCACAGGTGTCACGAAGGCTTCCCGTCACCTCAGAAACCATAACATGGGTTCATAATTGCTTGATAATGTGGAATCAAACTATTATTAGAGCCTGGGTGAAGTTGTGCACTCATTTAAATAAGGGTGTTGTCGCAGTAGGATGTGCTTGAATTCATTAGAATTGATGTTTGTTTAGCAACACTTTGCAAACACTGCGCGACTGAATCACTGTGAAGACATAGGGCCAAAATGTACATAAACTCCATTGCGCTAAAATTTCCTCCACTCACTTCCAGCATCCATACCACCGACGTGCGCTAATGAAGAGTCAGTAAAGATTTGACTCTTCACTGTCCGCTCTACCTCGCTCGGTAATAAAAACCTTTCGTGCTTGTTACGGTCATGAAACTGGTCATTACACACAGGATCTGTCGTTATGGCAACATTTATCACTTAAATAATAACACAGTGGTTTGCATTATTGGTCGGGGTCCGACAAATGAAACGGCTATAGAGAGTAAAACAATAGGTATATGGAGCTTTCCAGAAGGGCGGAACCAGTAGGATAATGACTAACACGTATCTGTTCTGTTCATAAAGATCCTCACTCTCCAGAGTAAAAAGGGGGGAAAAAACACCCACACGTGAACCATCATCACACTTATAATGCAATGCCTATATTAAGAAAAGAGAGAGGAAGAAATGAAACAGAGACATCCACCTCTGGCCTTGTTGTTGTTTTTTGCTCTCTCCTCTCAGCTTTTCCAATATCAGGCCTGCTTCAACCATCTGAAAGAACAGGAAATGAAGGCACCCATATCACAGGCTAATAATACAAAAACAGTGATAGCAGCCCGGGCCAAAACAGTCGGTGTAGACGGTACAGAGTCATCATAGCTCTCACACTCAACATATCCACATCCTATAGCCTACACCTCACATATACAAACCTAACAACCGAGCAAAGTGAGGCTTCAATCCTACTGTGGTTAAAAATCGAAATAAAGGGATTTGAATATAGCTTACTCTAACATTAATAATAAAGACATCATGTAAGGTAAAATGGCTAATTAGTTAAGATAGGATATTGAAACCACAGTTACAAGTTTATAAAGAAGTGTAAAAGTGAGAGATGGAAGTAGCCTATCTTTGCAGCAGGTGTACTAACACATACCCTTGACCCAACCATGCCACCTAGTGCACATACAGCAGTTTCATTGCACATCATCTCATTTGCTTCATTATTTAGCAGCTATTAATCTAAATGCATTTACAGTTCTCTTACTATAAAATAATAAAATTTTTACTGTATTTTTGATCAAGTAAATAAAGCAGTGGTGAGCATAAGATAGTTAAAATTCATTAACCGATTACCAGCCCCAAACTTTTTTGGGGGATAGTGTATAGTGTAGGTTCTTTCCGGAGCAGCCTAATGTTAAATGAAGTATACAAAGGTGATGGGTTTCAGTAATTTACTAATACTTCTTTTGAATTTCTCACAAATCTTGGTTATGTCATCTTTACTTGCCAAACCCATGTGCAGACAATAGCCTTTTATTCTTTTAGGTTACATTAAAAATCAGGTCCAGCCATCAAAAGTTGTACATTTTAAAAGATAAACAAAGCAATATTTATGAGCAGATTTAATCTGAATACAGTTCTATCCTCACTCTTCAAACATTTTACTTCAAAAGACACTGAACCAGAGTGCAGAATTAGAGCTAAACTCTGCACAGAATACTGCTCCCAAATAAAATCTGCTTCACTAACAGGGATCAATATCACCGATGCGTGCAAACAAAGTCAAGATTCGCCCCTTCACTTACATTTAACTTGCCCAGTACAAAATGGCACTGTAAAAGCACACCATTTCTTGCTTGCTTGGAAATAAAATCTTTCATGCTTGAAACAAAATCTCACAACAAAAACACTGCTTTAATATTATAAAACAGCATTTTAAGTTTATTACAGAAAATATACAAGCAGCAATACATTTTAATTCTCAATATATTAAACTAAACATACACAAAGCTTTAACCAAGCTATGCATCTGACAGGTAGATATGGCACCTGAGACTGTCTCTGTCCATATATCTGTTAAACATTTCTTGACTAGTCAAGAAATCTAAGATTTAAGCAAATGTAAAAACCATTATTAGCTTTGTTGTATCTGTATTGTCTAGAAACTAAAGTAACTGCTAATTCATATTTTATACCTGAAACAGTCAAAATAGAATAAAAGAAACCTGTAACATTCCCTGAATGATGACCTCTGATAATCATTTTGATCTACAGATTCTAAGACATTTGAACAAACTCTTAGAATATTAGCCTAATAGTTTTTTTTAGCCTAATCCCGTCATATCCTGTGTTCTTCTAGTAAACAAATAATTCCTGGTTTAAAATAAATAAATGACCTGAAGTTAAAGCTTTCTAGCATGTGAATGCAAAATGATTGATCTAGACCAGGGTTCCTCAAATCTTGCCCTGGAGAGCCAATGTGCTGCAGAGTTTAGCTCCAACCCTGATCAAACTCCCCTACCTGTGATTTTCTAATGATCCTGAAGACATTGATTAGCTTGCTCAGGTGTGTTTGATTAGGGTTAGAGCTAAACTCTGCAGGAAAGTGGATCTTGTGGGCCAGATTTGAGGATCCCTGATCTAGACCATGACGTTTGTCTGAAAACAACATTTGGCTCCATCTTAATGAACCCCTTATTTCTTTTCTTTCTTGTTTTTAAGATGCATGTACGAGGTGGTCTTTATAAGCACAGCCGCCTTGCATCATCATGCATCATCCTCCTCTGAGAATTTGAATTTGGCATAAACTATTAGCATAACCACTGACATGACCATACACAAGGAGCCAACTACTAAATAAGCAATGCCCAAGAAGTCGTTCTTCCCTCCCATCCAAGACACGTTGCTGAAGACCAACTTCTTACGTCCATCAAAACTCAGTACTGGGTAGTCTGGAAATGATGTGGTTAAAAAACAAACATGGTTCATTCATGCTGCATATGAACATTTCTACTGCATGTTTAAAAAAAAGAGAGATTTTTTTCTGAGACAAGTGCTCATTAAGTTGTGTGTTTACGTTGCGCTGGCAATCGTTTTGAACACTGGATACTGACACCTGAAAAAAAAAAGTTCTCAGTGTTTTCAGTCACCAATACCATTGTAGAAATCCTCTATTCATTATCAGCCATAAATAATTGATTCCACATTCAAAAATGTCAATAACAGGAGGGTTAAAAAGATAAAGCAAGGCTTCAGCTGGTCATGTGGTCCCTTTTTAAAGAAATTAATACTTTACTCAGCAAGGATGAATTAAATTGATCAAAAGTGGTAGTAAAAATGTTACAAAAGACATTTTAAAAAACTGTTCTTTTGAACTTTTGTTTTTCAATTCATCAAAGAATCTTGGAGAAAAATGGATCATAAAAATATTAAGCTGCTCAACTGTTTTCTACATTGATAATAAGAAATGTTGCACCAAATCAGCATATCAGAATGATTTCTGAAGGATTGTGACACTGAAGACTGGAGTAATGGCTGCTGAAAAGTCAGCCATTTGCCATCACTGGAATACATTACATTTTAAAATATATTAACACAGAAAAGAGTTACTTTATATTGCAATAATATTTCACAATATTACTATTTTTACTGTATTTTTATCAAATAATTGCCTTGGTAAGCATAAGAAACTACTCTTAAAAACATTTTTAAAGAATCTTACAAACCCTAAACTTTTCCAGGGTAGTGTACATTTAATTTCCTTTTGTGTAAAAACTTGTGTATAAGGGGGACATTTTTTTACAAAAGTGCACCTTTAAGACAAATTTCATCTACTCTTTTGACTGTCATGCCTTTTCATCAATTTACATATTCAAAACCCTATGTTTGTTGCTTCTGCACTCTGCTCTGGACCAGCTAAAAGCCACACCCAACCTGTAAAACCTGTTGGCCTGGATCACAGGCAAACATGGTCAAAAGACATCTGCGAAACAGGACTGATGCCATATGCGGTCTTGAGACTACAACATCTGAAGACTTGAACTGATTGAAGGCATGATGAGGCTTTAAGTCCTACAAACTTCAGCACTTGGTAAAATGAATAAAACATGAAAATCCTATTACTAATCCCTGTCTTGAGTGAGTTTTGACTTTCATGAGAAGGATACTGTAATGGACTGTCAGAGAGTAGTTTCCAGCAGGGAGCCCCGCGGCATAATCACCCTCTGTGATTCGCCGGAACAGCTTCCTGAACTGAGGAAGTGCAGCTCTCCTCATCCACACTAGAAAGTCCTGGTTCAGGAAACCGTTGTTGTTTGGGTCTGTGAGGTCCAGCTCATATGCTGCCTTAGGCCAGTTTATGGGCTTCACTGTACCTGTTAATCAGCATCCATAAAGAATTTAAGTTCTATTCCAAGTCTCAAATCCTATAGCTATTATTACATTACAACCTTAAGGCAAATTACCATCAAACGCGCTCGCAAACGAGCCATTCACAGACAAAGGGTTCCTGTACTTTATGTTGTAATCAGTCCACCAGGAGATTCCTTTACCATCTAATGGAACCTTCTTCTTCGTTCCATTGATTATTTGGTAGAGCTCAAATGTGTCTTTGCACAAGACACACAAATAAATTATTAGTAATCAAATAAATTAGTGGTAATTTCAGAGCTTAATACATACAAACATAAAGTTAATCTACAAATCTGAAATGATACCATTGAACATGCTATTCGCTATAGCTCCACAAGGGACAATGGGGTTATTTTTGGAGTCATACGAATATGGAGAGCAAACATCTCGTGGACTCTGAAAAGTCAGACGAAAATAAAAACAAAGAAAGTGGGATTCAATACATAAAATGAAAGATCCAAAAGTTGAAACAACATTTAAAAGATTGTTCATGCCAAACGCAAACCTTGAAATACTGTGTATCGCCAGTGAGCTGATAATCGTCTTTTGACACACCATATTTTCTGAAGTTCTGGAAGTAATTAGACAGGCCATAATAAAAGAAGACAGGGCCCTGTAAGCACCACAGACAATATTAGTCACTTTCTAACATTGAGGGAGAAATATCAGGCCTCAAAACGGAGTTAAACTCAAAGACTTTACCGTAAACAATGCGCTAAGGGAGAATGTTACTTCACAGGTGCAGTTTTGGACACTTTGGATCGTACAGCGGAAACAGGGTGAATCCTTCTCAACGCCTGTGTAATCCATCTGTGACATGGTGAGAAAAAAGAGCATTAATGTTTAATTAATGTCTCTCACCTTGCACAAAACACCACGGTATGTCAACACCTCCAAACTAACTCAACTACTAGGCGGTAATGTGGAGTCAGGGGTTCATTAACTCTAAAACAGACTTGAATGTTTAAATAGTGTTGTCTATCCTCTAACAAACAAGCAATACCTGACCTCAGTACATTTGTTTAAACTATTAGATATGCTACTTAACCAAAGGATGAACAAACTCTACTGTAAAATGCCATGTCATCCACCCAGTGAAGTTTTTTTCTGTTGTTGTCCCGCAGTAAACACTTACCTCCAGCACTTGGATGGTCTGTGAGGTCAGAAAGAGGCCAATTCCGATGCCTATGAAAGCCAAACCAATGATTAGAAAGCCAGGAATGACGATGCCAGCGGACAGTATGGGCTGCCATGCCGGGAGCCACTGCTGAGTGAATGCCGTGTTGTCAGGCCGTTCAGTCGCCTCTCCCTCGTTCTTCATCCTGATGTCCTCTGAAAGGAAGGACAAGCTTACTGTGTGCACCTCAATTTCATAGATAAAATAAAGAATACTAAAAAGCCCAATGGAAAAGAGATCAGAGTGCAATGCAACAAATAATACATCAGACACTGGATCTTTCTTCAAATGTGAGAACTTTTATAACCCAGGGGTTTATATTTTATTAAAAAGAACAGATTTTACCCTTTAACTTTTTGTTATATGAAGGTTCTTTAAAGATGTATTAGAAACTTTTTTACTATGCTTTCACCATTGATGACTTTTCAAATAACTTTTTATGTATAGATTTTATTTTAGCTTTGTCCCAATATCTTGAATCTTAAAATATGAAAATTCATCATAAAAATATGAATTAATGTTAACTATCGACTACTACCATAAACCATTTTAATATTTATTGCGTCAAAATTATTTATATGCATTTATTTTTAAAAAATACTCCTCAGTTGTGGCATCATTTTCACCCCACAGAACAATAACAGTTAACAGCATGCTTGAGATAAAATATGACACGTGATGTGTGATGAAAACAAAAAATATATATAATTAAATAAAAAAACAAATGTACATGTATTAAGCATAATTTCTAATCAAGACTTTTGCCACATTATGGAAAAAAATAAAAATAAATACAGGCTAAATAAATGCATGAAAATGTAGTTTGCCATTTTTGCATGATTAATACATTATTTGAGATTCGATGAAGATTACTTAAGATGACAATTATTCTGTGATGCATGTCTACTGACAATATCTATTAACTGTACAATGAAAACAAATAAATAATCTAGATACATTAAAAAGAGTTTTAATAAATTTGACCTAAACTAATGGAATTAATATTATTGGACCCGCAAAAATCTATCAACTCTCCAGCCATGGTAATAAAAACAGCTCAAAAGTTGGCTAACATGATAAAGACAAAAAAGGATATTTGTAAGAATTGAAGGCATGTTGTCCTGCACTACAACAACAACGGGTGATGTCGCAGGAAAATAGAACCGTGCTTCATGAATCTCGATCACTTACTCTGAGAGTAGAAACTTTAAAGCTTTATAAACAGATCAAAACTCACCTTAGAAAAAGATCAGCGCGCTCAGTTTGGCGTAGGTATTATAGGTGCCTGTTTTATAAAATCGGGAAGATTTGTACATCGACAGCAGACACACCTTCACACAGTCCCGTACCTGTGTTACCTACATCAGCTTTTCCGCTTTGCGTTCGCACCTCCCACCGCGCTTACGTCACATACCTGACTCCTCCCAGTTCCACTTCAGTCCGGTGGATCGTTATGATGGTTTATTATAGAAAAACATATTTATTGTTTGCAAGTCTTAAACCTTGTTATTAATTAGCTAAATCTCATATTTATTAATGTAACTTAAATTAATATAACTTAACATTAATATAACTAAAAAAGAAACAAAAAACGTTTTACTCTTTACAGCTTGTTTCTAAGAAAAGTATGTATTATGAATTATGTAAATATACTTTATTGTAAATAACTTGGAGACGAGACAATCTGTGTCTCCCTTGCAAATTTACCGAGGTCCTCTAGTGGGTTCTGAGAGCCTCTGATTCAGTTAAGTCAATTAAGGGCATGGGACCTTTCATGTCATTGATTTATGACATGAATTTTGCATACAGGTGAACGTTGCATGCCAAATTTGCATAAAATGAACCTGACTTTATGAAACGTTTGATCGATCGCCCTTATACCCAATTACAACACTGGGCAAGTTAGATCCCGCCTTCTGTACCCTCGTCGTCTACTCGGATTGGTTGAGCGATTCCGGTAGGGACAGGCGTTTGTTTCTTTGTGCTAGACTCCCCACAGCCGCGAGGAGGTAAATATGAATAATATTTTATAAACACAGCAGAAGACGGCAAATGAGACTAATGCATACAATTTATAAATGTGTAATACTTAATGTCATAATCAGAATGAATAAACTGTAATGAAGAATTGCGGTTTTCCTGGAGTTTGATAAGCAGAGAGAAAACGGATCGTGTCGCTAGCAATAGCATATTAGCTAACGTTAACCAGTTTGTGATGGCACCAGTTATTTTCTTAGTTCTTCATAGTTTCAAAATATTTGTAAACGTTTGGTAAAATACATTCTTTAACAGGTTAGCCCATATTTAGAGCTGCGATTTGGTGTTGTGATCCTAAATATGTGCGGTATAACGTTTATCTGTTAGCTCTATTAACAAAGCTAAACTTGTTAAAATTATATTCAAGCCGGTTGTTTATTGCGTTGGTGTCTGATTAAAAGAGTCAGTTTGCCTCAAATAAACTTTCAAATAGGTTCAGTACTACCGATTTTGTGATCATGTGATAACGGTGTTTTCACGGTCTATTGAGCAGAGAAATATGCCAAAATATCGTAAGTTTAGCAAGCTGTAAAGTGAAAATTTATATATTTTCCCTCGTCTCTAATATCCTCTCATACCCGGAAAGCTTGTGTCTTTCGAGCAATGCCTGTTTGTTCAGAGCAGGTGCACAAGTGCGACGTTAAACTTCTGCAGACCTCATGTTGTTTTGAGCATTCACAGCCATTGGTTCATGTGCTCTGTGATAGAACACAGTACATTCATTATGATAGGTATAGGACCAAACTGTGGAAGGAATCTGAGATGTTCATTATTAATATTTATGTAGATGAATATATAGAGAGCTTGTTGTATAGTCTATGTTCCAGTCACCTTTTGTTTGTACACCTACATTCAGCTCTTGTTTCTTCATTTTAGGAGAGGCTTCTTTCGTCTGTAATGCTGTCCAGTAAGAAGTCAGACCCAGGTTCCTCCTCTTCCTTAGGGGGTAATGGCGGAGACCGTGCTCCTGAAACCCTTTCTGCTCCTCAGGCTGGTCCAGCCGGTCCCTCTGGCCCAGGTATAGCAGATGTGAAAAAGAAAGAGAGAGCCTCTCCAAGTGGAGAACCAGGTGGACCTCCTCTCTTGCACCCTCCTGGACCAGGAGGGGTTGATCAAGACTCTGCAGAAGGACGCAGGACCAGTCGCCGTAAGAGAGCAAAGGTAAACATCTATATTAACTTCCTGTTATTTGAACAGGGATAATTGAGCCAGGCATATATATTTAGCTGAGTCGAACTGAGACTCATTAAATAATTTATTGGCACTAAATAATATGCTAATTTTTATTGCTCTGAAACTTGAAATCGCTCTAATTACTCATCTAAATACATACTATATTATAGGGCTGATAAATCGCATGCGATATTTAACGCGCATCTTATCAGTAAAGCCGGTTCTGTAATCAGCGGTAAATCTCCATCACGTGTGTGCTTTCACATTGAGCAGCATTAACTACACAGAGCCGTTGTTCACTGACGAGCTGCGCCAAACCACGTTCATATTCGCGCGATTTTTTGCGCAGCTTGTCAGATCCTAGACTTCTGGGGGCCCTATGCAAAACTGCGGGGGTCGGGGGGGTGTTATGAATGACGAGTTATGAATGAATAAAATGCCTTTGTCCGCTTGAGAAACGGTATCTGTTCCACGGCTTGGTACGCTTTCAACTCTTTTTTTTTTTTGTCTCGTCTCGAGTTAGACACTGTATGACATTAACGTTACATGATTTGACTGATTTTTACATAGAAGGGGCGACAGCGCACCTCATTAAAAGAAATTACATAAGCAGTTTTCATAACCGCTGGCCAAATTCAAAAACGAAACTAAAATTAAATCATCTTTGAGAGCAAGGGGTCCCCCTGGTGTTTCGGGGGCCCTACGCAGCTTGCGTTCTTTGCGTATAGGGAGGATCGGCTCTGTATATTAGGGCTGCACAATTAATCGAAATTAAATCGCAAAGGCAATAAATCGCGATTAGGCAGAAGCTGCGATTGTCATGCGTATCTTTCAGTGAAGCACAGTTCTGTGATTAGTAGTAAATCTCCATCCGAAGGCCAGAGGGCGCTCTTGCGCTGAAAATCCAAATATGCCCCGAAGAAGAAATCCAGGAAATGCCTATTGCTGCAGCTGAATAAACAGAAGATTTAACTGCTTTCATTGATTCAAC